AAGAAACAAGGTGGGAGAAAGCAAGCTATAACTCCTAAATAGTCACCATGTTGAACTGATAAGTGAGTACCAATCAAGGATCAAAGGAGAAAGTCATAAAAAGTATTATCCTTATAGAAGTCATAAGATAACTAAGTATAAACAAGCATGATTTAGAAAGCATCAATTTGAAAATTTAAGGACAAGTGATAAGCCAAAGAAGCACAAAATGAATCATGTTCAAAGAGAAAGATCAAGATGATCAATTGAAGTCAAATGCCTCTCAAGTCTTTAGAAGACTATCCTTGAGCTTATCATACCTTCAAGCATTAATTAAAACCAAAAATTTCACAAGGAAGTAGTTTAAAGATCAATTTAGCTTAAATTAGGGTTTTTGGAAACCACACAAACTTTATGCTCAAGGTAAGAACCAAATGATCAACTTAAAATTTCCATCAATTGAAAACAAGTTGACATATCATTAAAGCATTCAAATGATCATCACATACCCAAATATTAGCCTTAAATTATGTCCATAAGATTTTGAAATGAAGCTTGACTAAATTACACCAGGCCAAAGGGACATGTTCACTTCAATATTCCATGAAAAATAGAAAAATAGGACGTAAAGTCCACACAAAATTTTCAAGTGAGCTCAAGTATCTTACAAATTAGAACCATTCCTTTCTCAACTTAAAAGTTCATGAAAATTCCAGAATTAAATTAAAGAACACAAACTAGCTCAAAAAGACCATTGAACAAGAAAAATTTGTTAAAAATAGAAAAGCGAGAAGTAAAATTCCACAAAAATATATGTTCTTAACATCTTAAATAAGCTCAAACCTATTTTTTTGAATTTTTGGATTCAATGGAAACCAGTGAATTATATTGAAACTTCAAAAAGAAGCAATAAAACCTCAAAAGCCATTTAATCATTTCCAAAATTTTGAAAACAAAGCAAACCTTAAAATAAATGAGGTATAAGACCATCAATAATTCAAGCAAACTCATAGGGACGTGAAAATATTTTTTGTGATTTTTTATGATTCCTAAAAATGTCAGAATTAATTTTATACAAAAACTATGTAAATTAAAACAATTAAAAACACCTTTAATCAAGGAAACTGTAAAAATTAGAAAACAAATACTAAAAATAAAATAAAAATCAGATATAATAGTAGACTCAATTATCTTTCAATCCATTTTTTTTTGTATTTTTTGGATTTAAAAAAGTATTTTAAATAAATAAAGAAAAAAACAAAATAAATAATTATAAAATAAAATAAACAAAAAGGAAAATATGATAAATAAAGAGAGAGTGTGTCAGCGTGTGGGTCCCAGCACAAAACCTAGACCAATCGCGTGCCAGCCCCAATGATTGGGTGCACAAAAAGACAAAAACCTGGGCAAAACAATGAGACGGAGGCACGCGCGCGAAGAGAAAGAGATAAAAATTTTTTTATTTCGTGGGGTTGAGCCCGTGATTTTCCAGGGGGTTTCATCTCCAGATTTCTCACTCGTTTCTCCAAGAAATTAAGAAATGTAACGATCAAAGTTGTAGATCTCAAAGAGATCTACAACTTTGATTCAAGAAGTTTTTGAAATGGTTGAGAGATGAGAGAGAAATCTAGACATGAAGATGGCATAAAAATATTTTTTCACACATGAATCCTAATACTTATGAATTTCATACCCTCTTCCAATCCAAATATCTCACTTCTCGTTTGATGAAATTAAAAAGTGTAAACACCAAAGTTGTAGATCTCAAAAAGATCTACAACTTTGGTTCAATAATGTTTTCAAAATGTTGAGAGATGAGAGAGATATATGGGCGAGAAGAGAGCTAAAAAACCATTTTCACATATTTTTTCAGATATGAGTAACTCAAAATACAACCAATATAAATGAAAAAAGTTCTAAAGAGAGATGTTCACCAACAACATAACAACAACATCAAACAATTTCCGGATCCAGAAAATCAAAATCAAGGATTTTAAGGGGTTACCCAATGAAAGATAGGTCCACTTCCTCTTTGTGCTTGAGAGGAGGATAGAAACCCAGAAATGACTCTTGATTCTTCTTAGTGGAGCTCAAATAAAGAGGTTTGATGTTGGAAACTCTTGGAGAAAAGGCTTGGTTTGAAAGATTGGGAGGTAAGACTTAATTAGGGTTTTTTGTGAGAATGCACAAAGTTGCAAATGTGTAAATGAATATAGGCAAGGATTCTCCTATATATCCCCCAAGAGTGAGGGTAGAATGGTCTTTTGGGCTTCATAACCGTTGGAGGGCATAAATGAAAGTTTAGGATAAAATATGACTTGGTGACCAAGGCTGCATTTTCTGAAGAGATGGTGAGGCCTCTTGGTTTTTTTGGACAACTCATATATGTATTAGCATGTGCTCAAAAGATGGTACAAGTTAGTGGAGTATGGAGAGAGAAATATGGAATTGACTATTTTTGGCAATTTTAAGGTTTTTTTGTACAAAATGGATAAAAATGTATGCATGGGTGTGAATGGAAGATATGATCCTCTTATTCACGACCCAAATAGCTTATGGGTATGATTTGGAGTAAAAAATAATGGACACAATTGAAGAATTTGAGAAATCGTAAAATTTGACTTGGCAAAATTCAATGAAATGCAGTCCTAACGTAAAGGGCATAACTTTCTCAATTCTTGGAGTTAGGTCAGAAACTTGAACTTTTTAGAAATTTCATGATATTTAATACAACTTTCATGTTGTAAGAGTTTGCATTTGAATCCATTAAGATCTCTAAAACTGCCCACGAAAACTGCCTGAGTTGAAAAATGACCCATAATTCCAAGAAATGACCTATAATTCCTTGCTCCATAACTCTTAAAATAATCACTTTTTGTGTATGAGACCACACTGACAAAGTTTTAGATCTTATTTTTATCTTTCCAAGCATGTAAAGTTTGCTCAATTTCAATAAGAAATGAAGAAGTTATGAATTTTGAAGTTTAGCTTTATGACTTTCCATACTTAGAAAAATTTCTAACTTCACCAAGATACCTTCATGAACAAGTTAGCTTCAAAACCAATCTCTCTCTTTAATTTATTCAACCATAGGCCATATGATGTTAAAACATGATAATTGACCTCAACTTTGACCAAAAGTGCACTTGGTCAATAATTAACTTTGACCAAAAGTCCACTTTTGTCAATAATTGAACTTCAACAATGCCAAACAAGGGTCCACAATCAAAATGAGGATGTTTTAAGTCATATACAAGTCATTGAGAACCAAGTTTCTCAAGAAAAATGTCAAGAAGCGCCTTTGTTAGAAACTTGACTTTTCAGTCAACTAAGTTAAAATTTCACCAGTCATCCAGTGCAATGCTTTGAGTGATCTTGTGATGAATATAATGGCCATAATTGATACTTTGGGCTATCAATGGATCATAGAAACCCAGCCTTGATGAAAATTAAGCTCACAACTTGAAAGGGGTCAAAACCCTAATTTTTGACTGAACAACTTAGGAGATGGTAATTGAGGAGCAAAACCTGATTTTCCAAAGATTCCTGAGAAATTCAAGGAGCCAACAAACTTGAATCAATAAGAAGCTCATGATCATGAGGTCCCACATAACTTTCCTTGAGAAACCCAATCTTGCTTGATGGATAATCTTGAGCCAGGAGAAACCCTAAATCCTTGATCCCATGAATGTAGTAATGAATATGTCTTAATGGTAAGTATGCAAATGCAATGCAATAAGCCAGATGAAAATATAAGGGTAGAACAAATTTGGGGTAAGAAAATCGCCCTGCAATGGTCTGCCGTTGTAGGTGAAAGATATGAAAGAAGAGGGTCAAAGTGGCACCAATCTTGAGAAATTGGCACACTAGCTCGAACGCCCGCATAAATGTGAGCGCGTTCAAATGAAGCTGGGGGGGGGGGGGGGGTGCCAGTTGCAACCATTGGAAGACCCCCACATGGAAATCATTTAAGGGAAAACACATCCCCACTTCTTTAAAGGTAAACTCGTACATATGGAAGCGTTTTCCCGAGAATGACGAGCATATCCTCTGACTTCGATGAGGGATTTAAAGCACCCAGTTGGTGAGAGCACCCTCTACTCGATCCTCGGGGACATTGAACACATCAGAAGCATCCTTCAAAAAACATGACCTTTTACTCTCGGGCTCAGATGCAACCCAAGACAAAAGATCGTCGGCGACCATAACGTCACCCTCGTTGGCATCAGGCACAATGTCTTCCTCGTATGGCTATGCCATCGTATCTGAAAAGCAGGGGAAATCAGTGAAATCGACATCATCAAATTCACCCTTCCACCATAAATTAAGTGAAAGAGCGATGAATGCGTCGAGGAATGGTCATCGACCCAATCCCTCGACAGCTAACGCCAAAGAGGTCGACACCCTATGCGGGGACATTTCGTCGAACGAGCATATCCTCCCCACTATATGGGGGGACGACCCCGACGCAAGTCAGAACAAAATTCTGGAGTCATGAATCTTCATCCATATTCATGAACCCATATGAACATTCATGGAGGTTCATCCCAGAACCTATGAATCTTGATCCACATCCATGAACCCAGATGAACATCCATGGAGGTTCATTCCAGAACCCATGAATCTTCATCCAGAGGTTCATCCGTTCATGGAAAAACCTAAGTGTTTAATCTAAAAAGTCTAAGAAAAAATACGATCAAGATGAAATCACTTACTTGGATGAGATGAACGTGAAGCTGTCTACAGAGGTGTTGGAGGAGACGAACACAAGGGAAATAGGAGGATAGAGAGCTTGAAAATATCAAAGTAAATCTCAGATTCTCCTTTTATAGATAGCCTCCACCTCACGAGGTAGCATGCGAAAAGTCATCAATAATTGGGATCTTAGACTGCCGTATGAAATGATGACACCCAAACAGCTGCCACGTGGGGCTCGTGAGACGACACATCGCCCACAGTAGTCTCACGCAAAACCACACGCCCGCGCCATTTCACTCTCGTTGGTGAACAAATGCTCGACATCATTTGCAAGGCCTCATGAGTGGGCACCTCGTAGGTGCGCGTTTGGGGATACCAGTCGCCTCCCTAGAAGCAAAAATTACTACCGGGCACCTCGTTGATACGAGCAGAGGGCAAACTCGACCTATGAAACTTTCCCGGAGCTGACTCCTCCAAATCAAACATGTCTCCCTTAACCTAGTCAAATGTTCATAAGGGCTAATTGGTGTCGGTTTGTCGAACTGAGTATCTCTAAAACTTCAAGCACAAAATTGTTAAGGTCAAAAGAACATATATTTATCGGTTGGAACTCATGAGCAGCCTCCTTTTAGATGATCGTCGCCCAAAGTATACTAAAGTGTGTCTAGGCGGGCTTAATGGAGGTGATCCATGTTGAGAATCGTGTTCTGACATCTTTGTTGTTTTCTCTCTTTGTTTAGCTAATTGGCTGGATTTTCATATTGATTATGCAGATCATTCTATAAACAAAAAAGGAAAAAATTACAACTAAAATAAAGTATAATCGCCTAATATTTCCTTGTTGGAATAATCAATCTTTGGCAAAGACATCATTTAGTTGAACGTTTAAAAGATGCTTTACACTAGTAATATAAATTTTGTAAACAAAAATCATAAGTAAATCTTAACCGCCTCCACATGAATTTTTGTTATTTGATCAATGCTAAAAAAAATTATATTTGAATTTAGAAAAAAAATGACATAATGTGTAACATAATTGGTTGGTTTTGTAAACTAAAAAATAATTGCATAAAATAGTTAACGTGTCAAATTTCTAATAATGAAAGCAATTAGATCCATTCGAATTGTTGTGAAAATAATAAGGTTCAATTCAAATTAAGATTTTTGATATATGAAAACAAAGAATAGTAAAAACTAAAATAAATGGTCTTCAACAATAATAATCGATAAACAAAAAATATAAAAAAAAAAATTAAAATAAAAAAGACAAAAAAAAAAGCATTAATTCATGAAAGTGTGACAGGCTGACAGCTATGGTGGCTCTAGCGTTGTTCTAAAATTATTTCTCACATGCCATTAAAAGGGAAAAACACAACAGATATATAATAGATACTAATTACATGAAATTGAAAGGGAAAAGAGATAAATATATATAATAGATGTTAATTACATAAAGTCGTCAAAGATTTAAGAATGGAAAGTTATGTAGTTTTTATGGGCTGCGTTTAACTACCTTTACCCCGCCAAAGTTACGGTGCCTTTCTCTCTTTCCCTCGCATGCAATTCTCTCTCTCATCTTATTCTTTCTTTTTATTTTATTTTATATCTTACATAAAATGCTAAAATTTGCCTAAAGGCAGCTAAAAGCATCATAACTAATGACACACAATCTTTTTCCAATTTTTATAGTACACACAATCTTAAATTTATACTAGATAAACTTATTTATTGCCTTTTTATTTCCAAAGAGAAAATTGCAGTTGTAGAATAGGTGTCACTAACCAAAACTTTCGAAGTTGTTTCCTCCTCGGAGATGTCTCTTCTAATAGCAACACTCCAAAGCTATATACATCAGACTTTGTAGAACAAATTCCTTCCATAGCATATTCTGGAGACATGTATCCACTGCAATAAAAATTATTTAACAACGTCAAAAGTATTTTGGTGACATTTGGAAAAATAAAGTTTAGAAAACTCACTATGTCCCGACAATCCTATTGGTATTAATTGTGGACTCTTGTTGTGTGAACATTCTTGCCATGCCAAAATCAGAAATTTTTGGATTCATATTCTCATCAAGAAGTATGTTGCTAGCTTTCAAGTCTCTATGAATTATTTTTAGTCTTGAATACTTTATGAAGATAGAGCAGCGCCTGAGAAATTCCTTCTATAATGTTGAAGCGCTTCTTCCAATCGAGTAACTTCCTTTTTGTAGAATCTTTCAAGTTAAAATGTAACAATTTATGTTAGAATGTAAACTCCACATAAGTATTAAACCAAAATGGATATTTTGTCAATAGCTTTGATGCATTTGTTTATAAAAACATGACATATTCCTCACCGAATAGATAGAAATCCAAGCTTTTGTTTGGCATATATTCGTAAATTAGAATCCTTTCCTCTTCATGAATACAACAACCAAGTAGTTGTACAAGATTTGTGTGTTGAAGTTCACTTATCAATACCAATTCATTTTTGAATTCAACAATTCCTTGACCAGAAGTTCTTGAAAGTCTTTTTACAGCAACTTCCTGTCCGGTTGCCAAAATTCCCTGAGCTTGTAAAAGAAAAATGATCAGTAATCTAAAACAATATTAAAAAAAATATGGACACATTGTTGAGCTGGTGTCATAATTTTAAGTATTTAACCTGTATACATGATCTGTGTAAATATATATTTGATTGTTGAGCTGGTCTCATAATCTAAAAACATTTGATTTTATTAACAACTTTTTAAAGTCATTTATTTCAGTCATTTCAAATCACCTTATGTACGGGTCCATAGCCTCCTTGTCCTAACTTGTTTTCGGGGAAAAGTTCATTGTTGCTTCTAGAATTGATAAATAGTTAAAAACTTTTATATCATGTCCCTTAAATTCATCTTCAAGATCTTTGATACTATAGAATTCATTCGAACTTGCCAACTCTTGCATCTCATTTTCTGTTTAGCAAAAGAAATTAGAGAGAAAAATAATAGACTTGATTTAAAAATATATACTCGATTATTTTTAAGTATTCAAGTACCTCTAAATTCATATTTGTGTTTCTTTATTGCTAAACATAGAATGAGTGGGCATATTATGAGTAAAGCAACTGTAGATGCACTTATCCATATCCACTTTCTTTTACCTGCATTGATGCAAATATGTAACAAATCCTATTTAATTACGATTTAATTGTGAAATTTTTTGGCCTTAAACTCTACTATAATTTATCTTATCCACTTTATCATCAGCTCTAAATTTCCTCTTATAAAAAAAAAATTAAAAAACTTGATATGTAACAAAACATGTAATTAAAATGATTTTAGACTTACCATGGTGATTTGGGGTTGACTTTGTAGGCTTTTCCAAGAGGTAAAATTCATTCTCTTTCTCCAAATTAACTTGTTGCGTAGAGTTCCATGAATAAAATATACATCCAGTTCCATTACGATGATATTCTTGGAATCCATTGCAATCACAGTTTGTAACCATAAGTCACAATGTCTTGGATGGTAAAAATGTTATCATAGTCAATATTGTTTCAAAAATGAAGATAAAATTAACCTATTCAAAATGAGACTGTTATATAATTTGCTAGAAGAAAGATACTCACCAAACATGTAGGAAACTTCATACAAGTGATTTAGGCTCTCATAAGACTCTGTGTTCACACGATTAATCTCAAACCAACTATATCTTCAATTATTTTTCCACTACAAAATGTTGCATAAAGTATATTTTGCTACCACTTTTTTTAAAGGAAGGAAAAAGATTACAATAATTGATGGATGAGTTATGAATAGTTAACATTGTTGCTTTTCACTAGGGGTCTAGGATAATCTTTGATAAGAATCTCTAATAATAGTATTTAAGAGTGTTTCAAAACGTACTAAATAATGCAATATGCACAATTTGGATAGTGTCGTAAAACGTATTAAAAAGAGTGATTGATCGATAATTCCTATTGTTATGACAACAATTTTAAGATGTTTTCAACTATTATGATTATCGAAAAAATTATTGATATAATTACATTGTCGTCTTTGAAAAACTTTTTAACTTTGAGAAAAGTCATTTCAAACGTTGACAATAGAAAATGAGAGTTTTCTTAACAATACAAAATTTACCAATTTTTTGACAGATGAAACTCCATTTGTTATAGCCTGTGATGCACGGACTCCGACAAGAACGTCGCGATACGACACAAACACTAATAATGTTAAAACATAAGACATCTATATCTCTGTTCTCTCTCTCTCTCTCTCTCTCTCTATATATATATATATATATATATATATATATATATATATATATATATATATATATATATATATATATATATATATATATATATATATATATATATATATATATATATATATATATATATATATATATATATATTATTTAACTTCATTTATCCATTAATTATTAATAAAGTAAAAAAATATTTCAATAAAATTCAATGTCTTTAACCCTTAATTGATAATATTGTTTAAATACATATTTTAAACTTTTAGATGTATAGATGTATATGAGAATTGACTAAAAAAAATGTATGAGGTGGGTTAATATAAAAAATAAAAATAAAACACTTGTTTGAAGTGTCTGATACGTGTTGTGTGAGTGTCATAGACGTGTCGAACATTAATTTATAAAGTATCCGACAGCAAAAAAGTTTTTGACATTTGTTTGATTTTTCTGACACTTGTCTCACTTTTTTGACACGTGTCATACATTATCATATAAATATCGTACACTGACACATGTCGAACACCGCGACGCGCCTACATATTGAGGTGTCCATACTTCATAAATTACAACTTTCTCATGATCAAATGAACACACCAATGGTGAGAAATCTAAAGATTCAAATGGAACAATCCATTATAGTGAATATGAAACTGCTACATATATTAAAGAAAATGATTTGCAGCTAAGGAAATAATTAGACTTATAGAAAGAGAATTATTATCTCTGTAAAAATTACTTTCTGACTGAACTCACAGATAATCTATATGATTATTACAACAATGTGATACAACAAAATAATTATGGAAGACTCTGAAAAAGAAGTATGATACTAGGAGGCTAGAGAAAAAATATATGATGTATTGGCTACCTGAAATATCAAATGGTAGATGAAAGGTCTTTGGAGGCTCAATATCATGAATTTGAAAGATTTCTCACGAGATTATCACTGAATATATGCCATTAGATGATAAATTTCAAAATATTGTTATTATTGACAAACTGCCCTCTAATTGAAAATATTTCAAACTTTTGCTTTGCAACAAAAAATAATAATTTTTAATTGTGAGTTTGATTACCCGCCTCTGAATTGAAGATGAATCTTGGAGATAAGATCAAAAAGAAAAATTCTTGGTTGTTTGAAACAATAAAATCTAGTTCTGAAGTCATCTGACAAACAATTAAATAATCAAAACTACAATATTGTGAACTAAATTAAGAATGAGAACTATTTAAAGAAATGATGATGGTGTTTTTCTTGCTCAAACTTTGGAAAACCATGACACACTACTACGGAAAACCCATTTAACAATAGTTAGGAAAAGGGTACCATCACACGGGTCATACCGTTGTTAAATAGGGTGTGGTTGTAAGTTTCTTGTTTCTACCATGGTCTGGAAACCGTTATTGAAAGGCATGACACACGCCACTTATCACAACAGATTATAACTATAATTGTTGTGATGTATACACTTAGGTACTGGGTTCAAAACCCATCAACAACAAATTATGTAAAATATAATTGACCTTTGATCACGGTTACAATAGATAATCATTGTGAAAAGTGCTTGAAGATTATTATATAATATGTAGATTGCTTGTCTTCCATACACCTCACTAAAGAAATACAAGCGTTCAAATTGATGAAGAAGTCTATAATCTAAAAATTAAGCTATTCTTGAAACCAACTTAAACAAACCATTATTTTTTCTGATTGCATGCGTCCCGTCGTGCATTTCATTCTCTTTTACATATATATTGTAGTTTGTTGGTATAGCTCCTTCGATGCATCATTATCTTCGATTATAGTTAAATTTTTCATAACAACAAGATATTGGATAATCTGCCTCATCATCATCACTTATCATTGTAATCTTTATAATTTTAATTTTTATGATCATTAGTGTTGATGATGAGGCAGACTATCTAATAAATTGTAGTTAATGAAATTTAACTATAATCGAAGACAAGGATGCATTTGAGGAGCCATGCCATTATACCATAATCTATATGTAATAGAACATGAAATGAATGATGAGGCGCATGTAATTTGAAAATAATTATTGATATAAGTTGGTGTTCAAAAACAATTTAATTTGCAAATTATAAGTATCTATGTCAATTTAAATGAATGTATTTTAAGTGAGGGTTAGTGAAACAAACAATCTACATATAATATAATAAACTCAAACAACATCATACAAAAGAACCATATATTCTAAATTTATGAGCAATGAAACATATATATTATAAATTTCTAAGACGCGCCTTTTATTGAAACATGAATCAATTCTGAAGTTCATCTAGTTTGTGAAGCAATGAGAAAGAAATATAAGGAGGAAGAAGCTTACACAACAACTTCATACTTCTTATATTTCTTCTCATTGTATCTCAAACTAGATGAAGTTTAATGCCGCTGTTGTTTCTTCATTAACTAAAATGTGTTGTTCTTGTTGAGTCCTACAATAACTATGAAAGTTGTCAACATATGAAAATGCAAACTTATTTGTCAACACAGTATGAAAAACATCTTGTTTGTGAAGCTATGAAAAAAGTACAAGGTGGATGAAGTTTTAATCATAGCTTCATGCTTCTTGTACTTTTTTCCATAGCTACACAAATAATATGTACCATAGCTAAAGTATGGTATTTGTTAAGGTAGTGAAGATGAATCTGAAAAAATGAGAATAATTAATCAACAAAAACAATATGCAACAAACGAGATATTGGGGAACTATCCAACAATAAGATGTAAGAAGAAGAATACCTTAACGTATGAAGCACAAGATTCATTGATAATGGCGAAGAAGAAGAGAAAAAATGGGTGCTAGGGTTTCACTCTGAAGGAAACGGCGCTACTGTAAATAAGTGAGAGTCAATTCACTTATATACAGGTAAATTATTTCACAAAGGTTCTCTAACAACTGTATTGATAAGTATTGATTTATTATAAATATATCACAACGGTGGAACTTACCAAATGTTGTCATATCCCTTTAAGTTTTTATATGGAAATAAATAAAAAATAAAACACGCTCACAAACATTAAAGGAATAATATATATGATGACGTTGAGGTTTGAACCCATGAAAGCTTGATGGTTTTACCACGGTTGGCTTCTCAATCATTATTATATACAAATAATTTTTAATTAAAAATGAAAATAACATGGGAGCGCCTTATTTTAGAGATGTGACCACGGTGTAGTGAAGAACCGTGTGACCATGGCATTGTTATTTACGCGTTTTGTAGTATGGCTAAAAGATGTAGAAGTGACCTAAACTTGGTCTTTCTCTTAATATACATGCTAACCTCACTGATGAGAAATTTATATATATGATCAACAAACTCAATATGGTTGGTGGATTTGATGATTGATGGATAGACACAGACAACTCTTGTCATGTCAATTATGATTGTGTAATATTCAAAACATATACATTCTAAAACATAAGAAAGTGTTGTTGAGAAATGCACACACCGCTAATGTTCATATTATTAAAGATGTGGAGCTGAAGTCCATCCATAGAAGGCTTTAATTTTAAGAGATGTCATGCATGCTCTTGAGATTAGAAAGAATTTCGTTTGTGTATTTCTTCTTAATAACATAGTTTAGTCAATCTATTTGGGCATAAATGGCATGCCACGTATGACATATTTAAGGTAAATGTTAAAATAAATAAAATGTATCAATTTATTTACTCTTGGTGTGATTTTAATGTTTGACATTCTAGATTTTGTCATGTTAATAAGTGCATTATTTCTAATTTAAGCTTAAATAAAAAATTAAATTTTATTGTACCCCAAAAGTTGCCCTCTCATTTTACTCAATACATGTCCATTGAGATCCTCAATTTGCTCAAGCTTGCCCAAAAATTGACCAGACAAACTCTCTCTTAAGGCAGTGCACCTCAAATTAGGGTTTCTATTTTCATCAATATGGGTGAACCACAAAGGCCTCCTATGTTCTCCATGGTCTTAATATGTTCTCAAGATCCTACATGTCAAGTTTCATACCTTGCACAAGAAGTTTGCCCAGCCAACTGCTCAGATGTTTGAGAAATCGACTATATTAGGTCAAAATTCAACTGTGGGCCACACACAGTCAAACCTCGAGATTTTGAAGTGACTTCCATCATTTGATCAAGGGTTGATCATGATTCCTCAAGGAATGCTCCAAATTCATCAAAACCCAAAAGTTGCTAAGTTAGCGTTTCTTAGTAAAAGTCAACCTAACTTTG